AGAAGAATTGATGCATTGGAGTTACTGTATTGGTGGAGAATATTGAAAGTACTACGGGCTGCCAAAAGAACAAACAGATCTGTGTTGGAAGAAATACAGCCAGAGTGCTTGTTGGAGGCCAGGATGGCCAAACTTCGTCTCTCATACTTTGGACATATTGTAAGGAGAGACGTCACTGCAGAGGGATAACATGTTTGGTAAGGTGGTGGTTCCGAGAAAAATAGGAAGACCCCCAGAAAAATGGATTGGCAACGTGGTAGCATTAATGGGCTCAAACATGGCAATAATTGTGAGAGTAGCTCAGGATGGGACAGTGTTTCATTCTGTTGTGCACAGGGTTGCTGTTTGTCAGTATCAACTTGATGGCACCTAACAACAGCAACAACAAAAAGACGTTTCATAAGAAAGTTCTGGTGATCTGCTCCCAAAGGCCTTGAAAACACTATGGAGCAGTTTTGCTCTGTGCATATGGGGGTCACCATGAGTTGGAATTGACTTGATGGCAACTAACAAAAACAACAAATAGACCTGCTATGATACCCAACTTCATTCATTCCCTGTTACATCTTGTATTACAGTTCAGAGCTCTTAGCTGGCCTTTTTCTTAGATGATTTAGCTTTCTGGAACTAAGGTAGCATTGCTGTGCTCCCTCTCTGTTGGCTATAGGGGAAGATCTTTTCCCGGCTCCTTCAGCTTCTGGTGTATCAAGAGTTTCTCGGCAACCCTTGACTTATACATAGATCCTCACATGTGTCTTCCCCTGTGGGTGATGTGGTGTGTGTCTGTCCTTCCCTTTATAAGCTACCACTCCGAAGGCACTAGGATTCACCTTACTCTATTGTTGTTATTAGGTGCTGTTCAGTTGGTACTGATTCATAGTGACCATATGTACATGAGAGTGAAACACTGCCAGGTACTGCATCAAACTCACAAATGTTGCTATGCTTGAGCCCATTGCTGCTGCTACTATGCCAATCATCTTCTTAGGGTCTTCCTCTTTTTCACTGACCCTCTTTACCAAACATGATGTCCTTCTCCAGGGGCTGGTCCCTCCAGGTAATATATCTGAAGTTTGAGAGATGAGGTCTGGCTGTCCTGGCTTCTAAGTAGCATTCTGGATGTACTTTTTCCAATATAGATTTATTTGTTTCTCCTCCAACACCATAATTCAAATGCATTAATTCTTCTACGGTATTCTTTGTTCATTATTGAAAATACTATGGCTTGGGTCTGGCACACTTTAGTCCTTAAACTGACATCTTTGCTCTTCAGCACTTTAATGAGGTCTAGTGCAGCAAATTTGCCTAATGCAATATGTCATTTGATTTCTTGACTGCTGCTACCATGAGTGTTGATGGTTGATCTGAGCAAAATGAAATCTTTGACATCTTCAATCTTTTCTTCATTTATCATAATGTTATTTATTGGTCCAGTTGCAAGGATTTTTATTTTCTTTATGTTGAGATATAACCCATACTGAAGGCTGTGGTCTATGATCTTCATCAGCAAATATTTTAAGTCCTCTTCACTTTTAGCAAGTAAAGTTGTATCATTGCATATTGAAAGGTGTTAATGTCTTCCTCCAATCTTGATGCCATGTTTTTCTTCATCTACTCGGGCTTCTCGAATTATTTGCTCAGCATACAGATTGAAAAAGTATGATGAAAAATACAACCATAGCACACATCTTTCCTAATTTTAAACCATTCGGTGTTCCTTGTTCTTTTGAACAACTGCTTCTTAGTCTATGAACAGGTTCATCTTGAGCACAATTCTCTGCAATGTTCCAGAATTCTCATTCTCTGCAATGTTGTCCAGAGCTTGTCATGATCCACACATTAGAATGTCTTTGCATAGTCAGTAAAGCACAGGTAAACATCTTTCTGATATTCTCTGCTTTCAGTCAAGATCCATCTGACATCAGTACTCATTCCATGGTCTCATCTGAATGTAGCTTTGACCTCTGGCATTTCTCTGTCAATGTACTGTTGCAGCCATTTTTGAATCAGTTTAGCAAAATTTTATTTACATGTGATATGAATGATATTGTCTGATGATTTCCACATTCCATTGGGTCACCTCTCTTTGGAATGGGCATAAACATGGATTTTTTTCCAATCAGTGGGCCAGGTAGCTGTCTTCCAAATATTTTGGCATAGATGAGTGAGTGCCTCCAGTGCCACATCAGTTTGTTGAAAGATTTCAATTTGTATTCCATCAATTCCTGGAGCTTTGTTCTGTACCAATGCCTTCAGTGCACCTTGGACTTCCTTCAGTGTCATTGGTTCTTGATCATATGCTATATCTTGAAATGTTTGAACATTGACCATTTCTTTTTGGTATAGAGTTACTCTGCTTCCATCTTCTTTTGATGCTTCCTTCATCATTCAATATTTTGACCATGTTGTTGTTGTTGTTAAGTGCTGGTGAGTTGGTTCTAACTTATAGTGACCCTGTGTATGGTTTCCACGAAGAAGATGATGGATTTGAACTACAGACCTTGTAGTTCACTGTCTAGTGCTTATCCTATATTCCACTCCATGAGTCAATTTTTTTCCACAGAATCCTTCAATATTTCAAGTCAAGACTTGAATTTTTTCTTCAGTTCCCTCAGTTTGAGAACTACTGTGCATGTTCTTCCCTTTTGATTTTCTACCTCTAGGTCTTTGCACATTTTGTTATTACATTTGACTTTGTCTTCTAGAGCTACCATTGAAATTTTCTATTCAACTCTTAGTGTAGTGGTTACAAATTGGGCTGCTAACCTCAAGGTCAGAAGTTAGAAACTACCAGCCATTCCATGGAAGAAAGGTGAGGCTTTCTGCTCCCCTAAAGATTTACAGCCTCAGAAATCCTGTGCAGGGTCACTATGAGTGTGAACTGACTCTATGGTACTTAACAACAACAACAATATTCAACTCTTATCTCTTGAGATTTCTTCCATTTGCTTCAGCATCTCTATGCTGGAAAGCAAGTTTTAGAGTCTCTTCTGACATCCATTTTGTGTTTTTTTTCCCTTCTTTCTTGTCTTCTTAAAGACCTTCACTTACTTTCTGTATGATATTCTTGATGTCATCCTAAAACTCTTCTGGTCTTTAGTGTTTAATGTATCAACTCTGTTCTTCAGATGATCTCTAAATTCAGTTGGGATATATTCAAGGTCATATTTTAGCTCTTGTGAACTTGTTTTCATTTTCTTCAGCTTCAGCCTGAACTGCATATGAGCAATTGATGGTCTGTTTTACAGTCTGCCCCTGTTTTGGCAGATGATATGGAGGTTTTCCACAGTCACTCTTCACAACTGTAGTCAACTTGATTTCTGTGTATTCCATCTGGTAAGGTCCATGTGTATAGTTGTCCTATATTTGTTTAAACAAAGTATTTGCAATGAAGAAGTTAATTTGTCTTGAAAAATTCTATCATGTGATCCCCAGCATTGTTTGTATCACTGATCTTTCCTCTTTGTTTCTAATCTTTACGTTCCAATCACCAGTAAAGATCAGTACATCTTGAGTACATATCTGATCAATTTTAGACTGAAGAAGTTGGTAGAATTCTTCAATTTCATGCTCACTGGCTTTAGTGGTTGGTGTGTAAATTTGAATAATAGTGGTATTAACTGGTCTTCCTTGTAGGTGTATGGGTATTATCCTATCACAGACAGCGTTGTACTTCATGACAGATCATGATATGTTCTTTTTTATGATGAATGCAATGCTATTTCTCTTCAATTTGTCAGATTGTCAGATTCAAAACTGCCAGCAGCAACCCATTTCAGCAGTAACGTTCCACTGCTATTTATACAGTTTTCAGTAACTAAATATTTGGAAGTAGTCTGTCTCTCCTTATTCCTTGTTTGTCCAGTCTGGAACTCAGCTGAAACCTGTCCACCATGAGTGACCCTGCTGGATGTAAAATACTGATTGTATAGCTTCCAGAATCACAGCAACCCACAAGCCACCACAGTACGACAAACTGACAGAGGAGTAGTGGCCCTTCTCTATTATGACCTTGTCAACTGATAACAAAACAAATACTCTATTTCCAAACAAAGTCACGTTCACCAGTACAGTGTTACGACCCCAACATATTATTTTGGGAGTCATAATTCAATGCGTAGCAGATTATGTTTATGAGCTGATCCTTACTTTTTTTCACAGGCTTCTTTTGCCATTTTTCAACAACACCTCATTGTAAAAAAAAAAAAAAAAAAAAGGCTTGTGACTTGTTAGGCTGGTAGCTGAGATCTATACAAGGAATCTTCAAAAAAGTTCCTTGAAAAATATCAATGATCTTTTCATTCCATCTTTCCATGAATTTTCAAAACCCCTCCTATATGGCATCTACAGTTTGCAGATTTTCTATGGGGCTTCTACAGTTAACCCAAACAAACATAAGGAACATGAGGGAAAACACCCCAGACTTGTTTCTCAATAAAATTGCTGAAGATACTACACATTCATATACCCACTTTCATAAGCGTGTGTTTATCGTTTAATAATTATTGGCAAATATCTTTGTGCTCTTATTCTTCTTTCAATATTATATATTAGGGAGACTAGCATATTTCATACATTGTAGTTGCTGTCGTTTGGTATTATTTTTGTTGTTGTTCGGTGCTGTTGAGTCGACTCTGAGTCATAAGGCTTCTAAGGCTGTATATCTTTACTGGAACAAGAGCTCTCACCTTTCTCCCACAGAGCAGTTGGTGGGCTCAAACTCCCGACCATGTGGTTAACAGTCCAGTGCCTACTCTGAGCCACCAGTGCGCCATTTTATATGTAATGTTTAATTGTGTTTATTTGACTAGCAGAAGTTTTACATTGTTTATTCACATTGCTGTCAATCAGAAAAAAGATAACTATTCACTTGTCTTTTGTCCAGATATTTTTTTGTAGCTTAATTTTTTTACATTCATGATGAAGGAAAGAAAGTGGCTAGTAAACATCTTAAAAATTGTTTGGTGTCTCTAGTAATCAAAGAAATGAAAATTAAAATAACAATGTAATTTGATTTATCACATTACCAAATTATGCTGTTTAAATGAATAATACTTATAAGCATGTATAAAAATTATACTCACACCCATTCAGTGGAGGTGAAAATTCCTATAACTGGCAAGCAATTTGGCAATGCAAACCAATAGCCTAAAAATATTCATACCCTTTGGCCCATGAATTCTACTTCTGAGATTCTGTCCTTTGAAAGTAGTTTTAAATACACAACTTATACATAAATTTGTCTACAGCAATGTTCTTTGTAATAATTATACATAGGAAATAATGTAAATATCAATGAATATAATTATTAAGATAAGTTTACATGTTTTAATAATAGACTTGTTAGGATAAGTTACCATTACAAATTTTAATGGTGTATCCTCACCATTAAAAAATGTTTGGAAAACAAGAATCATACTGTTCCAACTTACAGCAACCCTGTATAGGGTTTCCAAGGAGCATCTAGTGGGTTTGAACTGCTGACGTTGTGGTTCATAGTCCAGTGCTGATCCTACAGCACTACACCAGGAGTATAATATATATATACATTATACACTGTTGTTAAGTGCTGTCAAGTCAATATAACAATATATATTATTGTTTAGTGCTATTGAGTCGGTTCCAACCCATAGTGACCCTTTGGAGTCCTGGTGTGGTACTGAAGATAAAGGATAAGCACTGGACTGTTAACCTCAAGGTTGATCATTCAAATCCAGCAGCCACTCCTCGGAAACCCTACATAAGGTCATTGTGAGTCAGGACTGATTCAATGACACTCAACAACATGATTCTTTGTAGATATATTTTCTTTATACACAAGATTCTTATATATATACTAAAGAAAGAGAAAAATCAGATATATTTATACACATATGTTTTGTAGCACTGCAAGATAGTACACTGGACCACATGGTTGGTTTAAACCTCAAGGTTGGTGGTTCAAACCCATCAGATGCTCCTTGGAAGTCCTATAGAGGATTGCTATATGGTACTTAATAACATAAATATACATAGACTCTATAGGATAAGGACTGGCTGTATACCACAAGGTTGCCATTTAGAG